ATAATGTTGGATTATTCTACTATCATTCCTACCCTCATGCCCTCTCTCCTCTTTCCACTCCCCTCTGTCTAGTCTAAAATACCTCTAATCTAACCTCCACCCCTTATTGTGAATTAGCGTCCATTTATCAGAGAAAACATTCGGCCTTTGGTTCTTTGGGATTGGCTTATTTCACTTAGCATAATATTCTTCAATTTCTTCCATTTACCAGAAAATGCCATAATTTCATTCTTCTTTAAGGCTGAATAATATTCCATAGTTTGTTTATCCATTCATCTGTTGAAGGGCACCAATGTTAGTTCCATAGTTCAGCTCTTGTGAATTGAGCTGCCATAAACATTGATGTGGCTGTGTCACTATAGTATGCTGATTTTTAAGTCCTTTGACTATAGGAGTGGGATGACTGGGTCAAATGGTGGTTCCATTCCAAGTTTTCTTAGGAATCTCCATATGACTTTCCATAGTGGTTGCACCAATGTACAGTCCCACCAGCAATGTATGAGTGTGCATTTCCCCCCTCATCCTTGCCAAAATTTATGAGTACTTCTCTTCTTGATAATTGCCATTCTGACTGGAGTGAGATGAAATCTCAGTGTAGGTTTGGTTTAATTTGCATTTCTCTAATTGCTAGAGACACTGAACATTTTTTCATATGTTTGTTGACCGGTCATATTTCTTCTTTGGTGAAGTGTCTGTTCAGTTCCTTTGCCTAACCCTAACCCTAACCCTTTTAAGTCCTTTTATTGATTGGGTTATTTGTTTTTTTGGTGTTAATTTTTTGAGTTCTTTATATATCCTGGATGTCAATGCTCTATCTGAGGTGTGTGTGATAAACATCTTTTTCATTCTGTAAGCTGTCTCTTCACATTCTTTTTTTTTTTAATGAGTAACCAAGTTGTCACATTTATTTAATAGGTGAATTTTCATATCTATTTTTATTTTTAAATAAATAAATTAACTAATTCTAATTAGGTATATATATGACAGCAGAATGCGTTTTGATTCATTGTGCCCAATCGCAGCACAACTTTTCATTTCTCTGATTGTACGTGATGGAGTGTCACACCACTTGTCATCCATGTACCTAGGGTAATGATGTCCACCTCCTTCCACCGTCTTTCCTGCCCCCATGCATCTCCCCATCCCCCCTTGCCCCATCACAGTTCCTCCATTTTTCCCATGCCCTCCCCCTTAGGGATCAGCACCCACTTCTCAGAGAGAACATTGGCCTTTGGTTTGGGGGGTTGTTTGCTTCGCTTACCACGATATTCTCCAACTTCCTGGGATAGAGGTTTCTTTGGGGACAGGAGCACCTACTTTGAAAGTGTCACCAAAGTCATTTGGGCGTTTGGAGAACAAGGCCGTCTCTCACTTTCTGCCCTCACTGGGCACACCAGGCCCCCCCAACGTCTCGGGTCTTTACCCCACACTTTTCTCCTCCTTTTCCCTCTGCTTGGAGACTTTCCTGCTTCTGCTCCTATTTTCTTTTATTTTCTGTGATCTTGGGGATGGAGCCCAGGGACTTGAACTTGCTGGTCCAGAGCTCTACCACCCAGCTACACCCCGCCCTGCTCCTCTTGTAAAGCTCAGCTCTGAAGCTTTTTCTGAGATGTTTTCTGAGCCTCCGCACATTTACGAACTCAGTTCATTCTCCTCCTGCATTTGGTAACTCCCACTTCACATTGCTCTTTTACTATTTAACCTACTTGCATCTCCCACTGGCCCTGTGCACTTTGAAGTTATTCAGGCCTATAGTCCCCAGATTTACCCAATGGTAGGTGCTTTACAAAAGTCTGTAGAGCTGAATCGAATTGAATATGTGTGGAGTGTGCATTTGTTCAAAGAGATTGTATTTCTGTTCTGCTAATTTCATTTTGGTGAAAGTTTACTTCAATTTAAATAATCAAAATATATTTGGTAAGTTATTTTGTTTTTTTGTTTTGGGTACTAGGAATTGAACCCAGAGGTGCTTTACCACTGAACTACATCCACAACCCTTTATTTTGAGTCAGTCTTCATAAATTGCTGGGGTTGACCTCAAACTTGCCTTTCTCCTGCCCTAGCCTCCCGAGTTGCTGGGATTACAGGCCTGTGCCATGCCTGACTTGGGTAAGTATTCTTGAGTGAATTAAAAATAACTCAATAGATTTCTAGTGTTGACACTTTCAAAACTGGAAATCTAAAAGATTTTCTCCTTTTATTTGTGTCTGAGTAAGAGAAAGGACAAGGGAGGGGAAATGCTTTTTAACTTTTTATGTTATGGAAAAAGGGAACTAAAGGAGAAACAGGAGATGAGATGACTTTCAGGTCTGGTTTCTGGTTGTGACCAAAAAAAAGTGTTTAAACTTCAGGAGGGCTAATTTATTTACAAGAGCCTTTGACCTTGGGCTTCATAGCTCAGCAACCTCACCTGTCTGGGCTCCAGGTGAGAATGCTGAGTTAGGTATCAAGGCAGAAATAAGTTACTAAAATTCATAGGAGGTTAATATTAACTTCCTTCTCTTTCATGAATAAACCATGAGATCTGGAATTCCTAGGTGAAACCAGCTGGTGAGGCGGTGCACACCTGTAGTCCCAGCTACTTGAGAGGCTGAACCAGGAGGATTGCTGGAGTCCAGGAGTTCAACAGCACAGAGAGACCCCATCTCCAAAGAAGAGAAGAGAAACACATGGATGAAACTTTCAGTGTGACACTTTTGGTGTTGGGGACTAAACCTGGGGGACTTGTACATGCTAGGCAAGTGCTCTACCACTGAGCCACATCCCCAGCCCTGACACACTCTTCGTGCACAGGATGAGATGGTGGATATTTTAGGCTTTGTGAAACATCCAGTATCTGAAGCAACTACTGGACAGCCTGCCGCGGTGATATAAATCAGCCAGGGACACCAAGCAAACAAGCAGGCATGGCTGGGTTTCAGTAAAACCTTATTCTCAAAAACATTCGGTCCTGAATTTGACCTGCTGGCTGTCAGTTGCTAATCCTGGACTACAAACTCTGCTTTCAGGTCTAAACATCCCCATTCTCTTAAACGCGCCGTCTTGGGTTGGGCTACCATAACAAAACTCCATAACCGCGTGACTTCACATGTTCGGATTCTTCACAGTTCTGGAGGCCGGGAAACCCAAGATTGAGGTGGCGGCAGGTCTGGGGGAGGGGGAGGGTCTACCTCCCGGTTTGCAGCCAGCTTCTCCTTGCTATGTCCTCACTGGTGGAGAGGGCAGAGAAGGCAGTGCTCCTGTCTCCTCTTACAAGGACACGGACCTCTCACGGAGGCCACCCTCACCACCTAATAACTTCCAAAGGCCCATTTCTTGACATATCTGCGGTGGAGGGTAGGCTTCAGTGTGTGGGTTTTGGGGGAATACAAACAGTCGGTTTATAATGCACCTCATGCGCATGCAGAAGGAAGAAACGTCCACTAAAGATTAACACGACATCGTGGTTATTTATGGAGATCAGATTATGAGTGAAAAAACCCAACTCTCTTGGGGATGGGAAGAGGTGGATTTGTGTGTCTGGATGGCCGTTTCAGGCTACAAGGGATGGTTCACCCCTGCCTGCACGGTCACCTCCCTGTCCTCCCTCCACCTCAGTGGCCTCTCGCTTCCCCATGCTCCTCTTTACCAGGTCACCCACTCCCTCCCAGCTCCACTGGGTCATGAGTGCAGTCCCAGTATCGTGTGGATTTACTTTCTAGTCAGGCAGGCCACAGGACTAGACAGAACCACGGGCCAGCTGAGAAAGCCCCAAATCACCAACTAGAAATGATAACATTTTAGGAAATGTAGGAAAATAAATTTGCTTCTTTTATTACCCAGAGAGATGTCAAGGGACTATCATTAAAGTATCTTTCACTGAAGAATTATAATCACCATGTTTAAAATCTTAGTTTCTAAGAACATATTTAAGACTAAGCCTATTACTGAGCTTACTCATGTTCAAAACCCCAGTGAGTTACAGCAGGTGGCTCTGGGAACTGCAGAGTGGACCTCATTCCTCTCCAGGGGTCTACATGTTCCAGGAGCAAGTACAAATGCATTACTAGGAGTCTCAAGTAAACCGAGCCTTGGTCACAGGCTAGGTGGTGCCACTGTAAGGAAAAAGCCCGGGGAGAGTGAGCTTGTAAGAGCTTCTACCCAGTCTACACCATCATAATCAGGTAGCAAAGGGGTCTGCCCAAGATGCCCAATGTGGATCCTGGTTGGCAGAGCTGCCACCATTTCAAACAGTACCTCACTGCAGCAGAGGGAAGCTGTGGAGGCGCTTCACTAGAATTGAATGCTCCAGTCATTTCTGTCCACAGTGAAAGGCCAGAGACTGTCCAGGACCACAGAGGGAAGTGCCTCCCTGCTGGGCATCCAGGAGGAAACGCAGGGAGAGCAGCTCTCAGCGCTGTCAGACACAGCACCCTGGACCTGCCTATTTCTCCAGCTTCCTTTCCCTTCTGTGACCAGAGCAGTTCATAGTACATGATTAAGAACGTGCACTTTGAGCCTTTTGAGTGTGTGTGCATGCGTGTGTGCATGTGCACATGTGTGTTTGTAGAAAGTGGGAGAAATTCCCTAGAAAGAGAGGGTTAAAAAAAAAAGTTGGTTTTTAAATGAAGCCATTACCCTAAACATTGAATTACTTGAATTTCTGGGATGATCATGCCAAAGGAACTAGTAGGGCCTTCGCTAGTCCACACTCTACTTTCCGTTCGAGGGATGCAGCCCTGCTTTATAAGCAAAGCTTGATGAAGGGAGCGTAGCTGCCTGGCAGCCTCTACCTACTCCTTGGTCAGTGAAAACTCTGCACACCCCGACATGGAGGGTGACCCACTAATCTGGTTGAAAGTCCTGTAACCTGGGAATACCCTGAGTCCTGAGTAAACAGAAATGGATGGTCATCCTTTCTACTTGTAAGCTTGTAAGAAGAGTTTCTACCCAGTCTATCTATCCTATCTACATGGTGGACCTGGGTACCAGTCGTGGCTCTTTATACGCAGGCCTCGCACATCTATTCTGCTAGGTTACCCATTTATTTGGGCATAGCTAGTGTGTTGGTCAGCGTTTCATCCCTGGGACACAAATGACTAACACAAACAGCTTAATGGAAAGATCTCTTTTGGCTCATGATTCCAGAGGTGTCAGTCCATGGTTGTCTGTCCATTACTTTGGGGACATCATGGTGGGAGGGTATAGACTCTCAGATATGACAGTCAGGAAGCAGAGAAAGGGAAGGGGCTAGGGACAAGGTAAATTCTTCCAGGGCACACCTCTGGTGACTTCTTCCAACTAGGCTTCACCGTCCCCTGATTCCATTAGCTGAGGACCAATGGGTTAGTCCACTGAGAAGCTCAGAGTCCTCCTGATCCAAAGCCCCACCTCTGAACACTGCTGCCCTGGGGACCACGAGCCTTGGGGGGACACTCCAGGTCCAAACCATAACAGCTAGCATAATGGGAAGACCAGGAGGACCACTCAGAATTGAGTTCAAGCCCCGTGTCTACTGACTAGCGTCGAGACCTCAGGCAGGGGCTGGGGGTGGCTCTGTGGTGGAGCACTTGCCCAGATCTCAGCAAGCTCCTGCTCTTCTGGGACTTCCTTCTGTCCTCCATGAACTGGAAGAAGATAATGCCCACCTTCTTGGGTTGTTGTGCGGCTCCGTTAAAGAGCCAGGGTCTGTCGAGGATCCGGCAGGGCCGGGCAGCCTTGCAGAAGGAGTCAGCAGGTTGGAGGCAATCACTTGGTGGAAGGAAGCCGCAATCCCAGGACAGTGATCCTGCCAGCCAGGAGGCTTGTCCAGGGTGCCCAGCATCAATCAGTAATCCCTCTGAGCGGCAGACTTCAGCTCCATTTAACAAGTTAGCAAGCTACAAGTTAAAGAGCCAGGAGACCCTTTTAATATTTAACCTGAGCTTGAACTAGAGACCTCTATTCCTTTGAGCTGCTTAATTGACTAGTCAAGTCTCAGATTACTAATGGGGAGTAGGAATTTAAACCTCTGGAGCTCTCTGAGGCCATGGCTGGTCGTGTGCAGATATAACCTTCCCAAAGGGCAACTTTCACACTGAAGAAGCTGCCATTCACCGTGGGGGTGTCTGAGCCTCAAGTGGGACGTTTAAAGTTTGTCGCTCATTCTCTGTAGCCAGCGGCACTGCAATGGCTAACTTCTATGATTCATATTCCATGTGAATGGCCAAGTTTACACAGGCCTGTTTTCCCTCTCCACCACCCCCCTCTCGCCTCCCCTACACAATTTCCTCAGGATGATCATCCTAACACGTCCAGAGAGCCTCCAAATCTCCTGCTCTAAAGTAGGGATCCCTCTCAGGAAAGGTGAGTCAGGTTAGGAGATCTCTTTATGCAGCAGATCTGCAAAACGGGAGCCTGCATCAGGGAGGCCAGCAACTGCAGATACTGTCCTGGATGGGAACAGTCCTTGTCCTGTCCAGAGATCTGTCATCCGCCACATCCACAGCACAGAAGAAGGGACAGTGGTAGCAGCCTCCTAGCTCATGGCGAACCTTGAACCTCACATAGGCTAGCTTCCTGCCTGCAGGACCCAAACCTGCCCATCAATGAGTCACAACCTCCATCTCCACCCCCAGCTCCCATCTGAATCCTACCCTAGAGAAACCCAGCAGAAGAGCCTTATGTAGGGGTCAGGGGTTTAGCTCTCGCCTAACATTTGCAAGGTCCTAGGTTTTGTCCTGGGCGAGAGAGAGAGAGAGAGAGAGAGAGAGAGAGAGAGAGAGAGAGAGAGAGA